CTCTCTCACTCTTTCTCCCTCTCTCTCACTCTTTCTCCCTCTCTCTCACTCTTTCTCCCTCTTTCCCTCTTTCTCCCTCTCACTCTTTCTCCCTCTCTCTCTCTTTCTCATCTCCATTTTCACAACAGTTTATAATTTGTCTCTCCTCACATCCAGCGTCTCCTTCCTTGGCTCTCGACTCTACCATTGTCTTTCGGGTGAAAGAGAGTATTGATTAGTATAGGCGCGTCAACTTCTGAGTCAATTAACTCCGTAAGTTCAGTGCATATAATGACCACATCGGTGGCGGTGTTCCTATCATGTGTAACGGGATACCCCTCCTTCGCTGGTAGAATCCTATTAGAAGTTCTCGACTAGTCCCCCGGCATGTGAATGGTGTATGTAAGTAAGTGACTGCGTCTAACAGGAGAGGAGGGAACAAAGATGAGTAATAAACCGCACGGCCAGAATCTGGTTTGTTATAGTACAGCTACGGCATTCGCCTTGTATTGATTTGATATGTTTACTGTCGGCTCTCTCCCTCTTCTCATTTCCATCTCGCACAACCTACCTCGCTATTTTTTAATTTGTCTCTCATCACTGCCACTATCTTCTTCTTGCTCAGGTGCTCTTCCATTATTCATCAGGAACCTGCCAGAAACTTTCATGTAGCTCTCCTTTACTCTTCTGTTTCTCTCTCGTACCTCTTTACTGTTTCTTTCAGTTCTTTTGGACTTCACCGACGAAGTCGTCTTGCTCTGTAATCGACTATAAGAATAATTAGACGCATTTATCATCTCATATTCATGTAATTTTGTAAATTTAACATTCATTGAAGTGGTAAGATCAAAGCATCATGAGTCTGTCATCAAATTAAGACAATTATAACTATTGTCACCTGACTACTCGGCGTTACCCGAATATTTATTTCTAAAAACCGTCTACCAAACAGCTTTGCCCGTCCCGCACACTTCGCCCGTGTCCCACACACCCCTTCGGCCTGTCATGGCCACCCTGTTCACACCTCCCACCACTCCCGTCCAACCCCTTCTTCCGGCAAAGGTGGCTCAGGGTACGACCAGATGTCGCTGCAGTGCCTCTGAACGAAAGGTCCTGGGGTTCGAGTCCCGGTTTCACGATTTCCGTCCCTGACTAGATAGCTAGGACGAGTTCAACCACTGTCCGTGGAAGATTTTTAGCTCAGAAAGTTTTCAAAACATCAGTTCTCTAAAAAAGTTCACTAATAATTTAAAAAACAAATAGGAGTAGATTAGCGTTATTTAGCAAATTTTGCATTGCACACTCGAATTTTCTTTATTTTTTACTAGACTTTAAGGAGTTGTCAGGTTGCAATGCGACATTTATGAGCTGGGTTCTTAAAATTCTCAGAATAAAATCTTATTGGTTGGTGAATGGAACGATAGTTTGATTTGTCAAATGTGTATTCATGTCTTTGCTAAAGTTTTTTCGCCTATTGAGCAAATGTAAGTAATGAGATTTGCAAGTGATGGCCGAAATATGTTAATATGGACATAAATGATGGTTTTATAATTTTACGTAAACATTACTTAGGCAAGAAAGTACGTGCAGTTGTAACACCAGTAGTTTATTTGGAAATATCTCGAAAAAATATTGCCTCGGTTTCACTTCCTATGTTGAAATCATCGTCGCAGCATAACCTTGCCTTATCCGCTGCCTCTTATAAATCTTTAAAGACAGAAGCGGGCAAATACAGCAAACTGAAAAAAAATATCACCTAAAATATTTCCTGGAACACGAGACCTTTTAGCGTCACTTATTATAACCAATGACTGCTAATTAATGTGAACACACTCCCTGGAATCTTATTGAAGTACCAGTTATTTATTCTGCAAAACTAGACGGAAAAAAATAATTGATGAGTATGTTTGCTACGCAATAAATAAATATAGTTATACCACGAGACTTAATTATTTTCTTGCCTACAAATTGCACCCACGACCATAGTTAAATAAAAGGCTCTTGTATCAGGCATTTCCTCCGTTCAGGTCGTGGCCACGATTAGAATTGTACTAGACATCGTTCAAAAAATAATAAATGTTTTATGTTTACATTTTTGATAGTACACTTACTTACATTGGAGTCTCGATCAGCGAGGGTTACTAAGTAATATTGCTTTATTAAGATTACTACATGTGAGTAAAACATATTGAACATAACATACACACTATGAGTTGTTCTTTCATGATTGTTTCAATTTCATAAAC